GTGTGTGTGTGTGTGTGAGATTGTCCTCACCTCGAACCTGCAGACCTAGCCCACAGAGCTCCTGATTCCCAGGACTGCCCTCCCGAACAGACCATGGAACCAATTGACATCTTCGCCACTTATGAGTTTTCCATCTGTCAAAAAACACATTATAAGAGGAGTCTTGAATGAAAATTGAACTGGTCTACTTTGTTCATATTTGGCCATCACAAGAAAACATCATATTCAGCACTGATTATTAGTTTTTGGCAGGTACTGAGTGAAAAAAGTCCCCCCACTTTTTTTTTAACTTGTGAAGGAGCTTGTTTATTATAAACATGAAGTTAGGATTAACAAACTTTATTAGACTGGTTTTAAATATATTGTATTATCAGATAATACGTGTTATCAGATTAATATGATTAATCTATATTAATGGGCTACATACCATGAGCCTTTACGGTGGCAGTAAATAATCCATAACTTAAAAAGCCATCGGGTGGCTCAGCTGCACCAATCTCCAACTTTCCTTTCATCTCAAAATTTCATAAAAGAATAGTATTGAACCAGTTAACTGCTCACCTGCAGAGGAACAGTTTATGTGAAGCGTTTCAGTCAGAATTCATAACTGTACAGAAACAGCTTTAGTGATCTTCTTGTAGCCTCAGTGGATTAATTTCTGTGATTGTTCAATATCATTCAAAGGCACAGCATATATTTTCATTGCTTTGCAGACGATAATCACCTTTTAATTAATATGTGTGTGTTATCCCTGTGTTCATAATATAGTTCAACTGTAGGAGTGTCTTAAAGATATAATGACCTCTAGGTTTTTGTACTGGATCATAAAAATGAGAAACATCAGGACAGTCACTTGCTGGCATTACCTTGACCTTCTGCAGAACTGTAAGGCAGCGGTCCCCAACCCCCGGGCCTCAGACCGGTACCGGTCCGTGAGTCGTTTGGTACCGCGCCGTAAGAGTTGAAGCTCAGGTGTGAAATGTATGGTTTTCAGGGTTTTTATCGGTTTTCAGCGTTATTTTGTTATCGTTTTTAT